GCAGCTACTGTTTTTGTAGCTGCTGACTTTTATTTTTTGACAACGTGAGTGGAACTCCGCTTTAAGCTCTGATTCACACTGTGAATCACACAGGAACTGCACTGCATTCCTGTACAATTCACATGCAACTTAGTATGGTGCGATTTGAGTCAATTAATTTTGTCATTTGTAAGCCCATGTTTTTTTCAATTTAATGCAAAAACAGAAAAATAATGGTTGACGTGCCATAAATACAGCATGCTACTACTTTCTCTTTCACATGACAATGCAGCTCATTCATCACACACATTCATCATTTATCAAGGAACACAAGGGAGCGCCAGACTAAGTGTAGCAATGATAAGTAATGGGTTTATTAAAAGCCAATTGACAACTTACATAAAAACCATAAGGGGAACTCTGCACTGGCCAGTAAGTTAAAAGTATTCAACAGTGGTCTTCAAACTGTGGCCCTTTGCTTGCCTTTATCCGTCCCTTACGCCAGTATTTCCTCTGACACCAACGATGGGGCATAATTTCCCCCGCTGACAGCAACAAAGGGGCACAATTCCTCTGAATGAAACTAATGATGAGACACTGTTCCTTCCAATGACACCAATATTGGGGTGCAATTCCTCCCAGCGACACCAACGATGGGGCACAATTCCTCTCACTGACACCAAAGGTGGGGCATTGTTTAGTCCCACCAGTCAGCTATGAGGAAAGATTAGAGGAACTGAATTTATTCTCTCTTGAGAAGAGGAGATTAAGGGGAATATGATCAACATGTATAAATACATCAGTGGTTCATATAGTGAACTTGGTCTAGAGCTATTCACCCTGAGGTCATCACAAAGGACAAGGGGGCACTCTTTACGTCTGGAGGAAAAGAAATTTAATCTCCAAGCATGGAAAGGTTTCTTCACAGTAAGAGCTGTGAAAATGTGGAATAGATTCCCTCAAGAGTTGGTTCTGGCCAGCTTAGTGGATTGCTTTAAAAAAATGCCTGGATTGTTTCTTAGATACACAGAATATAACTGGATACTAACATTTATAGGTACAAGTTGATCCAGGGAATATCCGATTGCCTTTCGGGAGATCAGGAAGAAATTGTTTTCCCAGCAGGAGCAAATTGGATCATGCTTTGCAGGGTTTTTTTTTTACCTTCCTCTGGATCAACTGTGGGTATAGGATTATAACTTTTTTTTTTCTGTGGTTGAACTGGATGTCTTTTTTCAGCCAGGCTAACTATGTAACTATATGTAACTATGATGCTGGGACATTTTCTACTTACAATGGCCACAGTCCAGCCCCCCTAGAGTCTGAAGAACAGTATACTGGCCCTTTGTGTAGAAAGCCTGGAGACCCCCGCTATACAATGTAACAGTGTAGAAATGTTCTGCCCTGAATTCAGGAATGAAAATAAATTATAACATTTCACCAGAAGGAGATCATGCTGTGAATGAAAGGATGCTAGAATCTTTTCACAGTTTCCTAATATTGGTGTGCATTTGTTTATTCCTTTGGTGCAGTGTAGCATGTAAAAAAATATTGTGAAAAAAAATGCCAAAAATAATACTAAATTTAAGCGCTAAATATTGAAAAACATAAATATTTACGCATTTGGTAAATGGAACCTGACTTCTACAATGATACCTCCTGGTGGTACTGTGTTCATGTGCCTGTAATTCTAGTTGCCAACAGCAAGGGAGCACTGAGGTGCAAATGTAATAAACTGGTGAAAAGCTAGTGATAACTGGTGGTAAGATATTTTTAGCACTTACCACAATGACAAGGCTTAATCTGGTGTTTAATACATGACAAATCCAGTAGAAATTAAAAAAACAGGAAATATCTGTTCCATTTCCTTCACCCTGATAAGTACAGAGAAAGTAATAGGGTTAGGTATTTATTAAGGCTGTTATTCTCCTGCCCAGGCTTGGGATTTCAAGTGGATTTGAAGTAGAATGTGCTATGCACATGCTCTCTGCTGAATTTGTAGAGGCCTAAAGATTTACTGTTGCTCAGGACTTCAGTAAAAATGTCAGCTTCCAGAAGAAGAAACAGGAATAATGCTGGAGGCAATTTACAGCACATACTAATTTTGGTAGCATAATTATTAATGTGGAATGTATGCTCCTTGCTAAAGAACATTATTTTCTATCAAGTTGTTATGGGTAAAGTTCCAATTTAGGTGTGGAGGGAAAAACATGTTATTCCTGCCATTTGGCTCCTCATAATGGCCTATCTTGTATTGACCTAGGCTTGGGTAACTGCAATGCTGCTCTATGTTGAGGATTCTGCCTATAAACCTAGACTACTCAGACTATTCTCCATTCTAGGTACGCCTCTCTGTCTCTGGTCCCTCAGTGTGGCCCTTATAGTGGGTCAACCCATTTTGGCTGACTCTTTTCCCAGAAGATGATTTTATCCAGAGGGATTTGTCTATCTTTCCCTTGCTAACTTCTAGAATTATTGAACAGCAATGTACTGTGTTTTTATATTTATATGTGTATAACATTTTCCTGTGCTTACAAGCATTTTTGCAAGCCGGACAGATAAAAGAAGCTTACAACTGTAAAATTCAGAGGTGAGCTTCTATACCAAGTTTAGACAATGTTAATCTGAATTTTTTTAAATTTGAATATATATATATATATATATATATATATATACACACACACACACACACATACTATATATATATATATATATATATATATATATATTTATACACACGCAGTTTTTACATGATCTATATCTTGCATACATATAGTTATTACAGGTGCAATTGTGACACAGGACTACTACAGCATTATGGGTTCCTTATTTTGCAAGCCGGACAGATAAAAGAAGCTTACAAATGTAAAAATTCAAAGGTGAGCTTCTATACCAAGTTTAGACAATGTTAATCTGAATTTGTTTTAAATTTGAATATATATATATATATACACACACACAGTTTTTACATGATCTATATCTTGCATACATATAGTTAATACAGGTGCAATTGCGACACAGGACTAATACAGTATTATGGGTTCATTATGAGCAGAACAGTAGCTTCTTACTTTCAGACACCGTCTCTGACTAAACCTTTATAGGCAGTTATCTGAAGAGAGGTGGCTTACAGGGGAGTCACTAACTCACTGGGGTTGATTTACTAAAACTGGAGAGCAAAATCTGGTGCAGCTCTGCATAGAAACCAATCAGCTTCCTTTTTTGTTTTGTCAAAGCTTAATTGAACAAGGTGAAGCTGACTGACTACCATACACAGCTGCACCAGATTTTGCACTGTCCAGTTTTAGTAAATCAAGCCCATTGACTTGTGTGTAATGTCAGATTATGCTACTGAACTATGTAAGCAATGTGTTTTTTTGCAACACACAAACTAAGGCCTCATTGCACACTGATTGACTGCCCAGCTCTCCTAAATGCCTTTCTCTTGGCAGAAGAAAAGCAGCATTTTTTGTTAATGCGTTGGACACATTTAGGCACATCAAGTGCTTGGGTGTTAGTTCATTTATTTGGCCAGAATAATATTTTAACGTGCTCAGCGTCAACATGCGTTTACACGAGTTTAGGCACATCAAGCATGTTTTCTGCCAAAACAGTACTTCTACTGAAGGTGCTGGCAGTGTGCTTTTTTTCTGCCTCTAAAGGCCTGTAAATGTGTTTATGGACACATAGAGGGTTATTTACTAAAACTGCATGGTGCAACTCTGCAGCTTCTAGCCAATCAGCTTCCACATTTTATTGCCAAAGCTTAATTGAACAAACTGAGGTTAGAATTCAATTGGCTGCCATGCACAGCTGCAACAGATTTTCAATGCACCAATTTTAGTAAATCTACCCCATAGGCTAACATTGAAGGGCGTTTAGAGGCAGAAAAAAAAAAATCAAACACTCCTAAATGACATTTTTGTATTTCAATGTTTTTATTAATTTATAAACTGTTTAAGACAGGAGCAACAAAACACACCCACGCAGGGGCTATCAATTGCACATAAAGAAAAAAAAAAAAAAAAAGTGCTCTAACACCAACAGAGCAAAAAGTGCGCCCATGCAGGGGCTATCAATGGCACTTAAATAACAAAACATTAGTATAACACTGATAGTAACTCAAACTAAAGGCAGCTATCCACTGCCACACCAAAAACAAACAGAAAAAGAAAAGGAAAGAGGAGTACAAAAGGAAAAAGATAACAAGACCAAGAGCAGGGGTCTGAGAACGCCAATACTGAGCAACATCACAACTCAGACTAGCCGGAGGGGGGGGGGGGGGGGGCGTGGGAAAGGCATATTGCAACCACGGTTCCCATATTTTCATGAATTTCTGTTGGGAGTTTCTTTCGTTACAGATACTCAACATCTGTTCATTGAGCATCATAGTGGTAATACGGTCCTGCACCCCCTGAAGAGGGACAAACGGGCTCTTCCATGCCTGAGCAATTGTTCTAGTGGCCAACAAAAGCAAATAGGAAGTCAACTTCTGCTGGCGAGCCAAGAGGCCCAGTATGGGACAATGAAGCAAAGCATACCAATGCTAAATGACATTTTTAACATCCATTGTGCATGATGGCTAAGGGAAGCCCTTAAAACCATGAAAATGAGCCATAAAAATACAATGTAACATTTCACATTTACAAATAAAAAAAGGTTTTAAAAATATACAAAGTAAAAAAGATACAAATAATATCCATTTCAGTAAACAAAAATGTTTTAAAAATGCTATTTTTTGTCTTGACCATAATAAATAATAAGAAAACTATGTACACACCCACTGTACATGGCCTTTAAAGGTCTCCCTGCAAAGTGCAACAGAAAAAAAAAAAATGTTTTCATGAACATTAAGAAATGACATGATTATTTGAATGAATAAGAATTCTTTTCTTTCATATCTTTATAAATATTAGATATAAACTGCTCTCATGGTAATTCTCATACGTTACATTTTTTTTTAAAGTCAATTTAGTCATAAGGAAAGCAAATTCAGCAAAGTGCTGCCAATTTAATCATTCTTAAATACTGAACTCAGTGTCGCAAACAGTGTCATCACAAGTGTTTTCAAACTCCTTGATTTTCTGAGTCCCTTCAATCTCCTGTGAACTCTTAAAGAATTTCTTAAGGCATTTAACTTTCCTTAGATATCTGATTAGTCTGCGACGGAGCTCTCTACTTTTTAAAGCATAGATTATAGGGTTGACCATGGAGTTGACCAAGCAAAGAGTACTGCAGAAAGCAAAAACGGTTTTGATTTTTCTGTCCAATGGAAATAGCAAGCTGTGTACCATAAGAATGAGAGAAGGAGTCCAGCACACCACAAGAACAGTTAAAACAATGGCCAAGGTTTTGGCCAGCATGACATCCATTCTCATACGACGTTCTCCACGATCTGTTTGTAAGTTGTGTTTTACCATATAAATTGTATGCTTATGTGCCTTCCATAAGATATGAATATAAGAAAAAATGATGGCACAGAGAAGAATAAATATAAGGACAATCCAACTTGCTAGGTATTTATTGTCAATCAAGGGAAAAAGTTCTGAGCAGACCAAATCGGCATGACAGCAGTTTAGACCCATAAGTGGTAGATATGAGATAATTGTTGTCCCAATCCACATTATAATTAATGCCTGCAGTGCTCTTTTTCGGGTGATTATTGCTTTATACTTAGAGGGCCTGTAGATACAGATGTACCTGTCAAATGCTGTAAAAAGTAAACTTCCAAGGGACGCAGTGAAGGATAATGTGACACCACCAAGTTTGAATAAGAAAACAGAAGGAGTACCTGCTCCATGGAAGACATGAAAGTCAACAAAACTATAAGAAAAAATAAGACTGGCCAGTAAGTCCGCTGTAGCCAGACTGCCAATAAAGAGAAAAGAGGGTTTCATTCTAAGATGAGCAGAACTGAAGATCATGGAAAGGACCAAACAATTCTCCAGGATACACACAGTTCCTGTTATAATACAAAGTACGGCTATGAAGATTTTCTGTGCACTGCTGTTCAGGATCAGGTAGCATTGGATGTCTATGCCTTCTGTTGCACATTTTCCAGCGCTAATATTGGCACTAGTGTTACAACCATCCATGTTTATCAATGTCCTTCCAAGTACGTCAGGGAATCCTTATCAATGGTGCTTGTAATGAACACTAGGGTAAAAAGCCATAATATATATACATAGATAGTTAAAATGAACTTCGGTAGGTAAACAAATATATTTCCCAGTGGAGAGAGAACAAAGCAGTCAGTTTCCACCTTTTGTCTGTTTAGAACAGGAAGATGAATGTTGATTGGTCACAATGGATAATTCCACTTTGCTCTTTCCCTTTGAAAAAAAAAAAGAAGATATACAGTTATTAGTCTACATGGAATTAAAATTGTGACATATGTTAGTTTCCCAACTGCAATTTATCCAGCCATCAAGTGAGAGTCATCCTATAAAGTCCCTGTTTTGAGAAGCACTAACAATTTAAAGCTGAGGTTTAGGTATGGTACTTTTTATATAGCTAAGATAATGCAAAGTTACTGACCTCTGAATGGCACCCGTGCTGAACATGCTACCACCTGGATTTGCCAAAGGGCCACACATAATACTCAGTGTCACAGACAACAGACACTCAATAGGAAATGGTCAAATACTAGGGGCATGATGCAAGAGGTGGTCAGAGAGTAGGGAAATGTTATAAGAGATGTTAGAGATTGGGGAAATGCTTTGAGAGACAGAGACATTACTTGAGACTAGGGATCACTGCTACAACAGGGAAATGATGAAACACTTTCGAGTTTCTTCAGGGTCTCAAGGGCTGTACAAATGTGTGCCAAACGACCACATGTGGCTGCAGGTTGGGCACCAGGGTTCTAGGTGAACCCCACAACTATGACACATTGATACTTACATTGGCTCAAGCTGGATTAAAGTAACTATGTAAAAATTGCCATACCTAAATTTCAGCTCTAAAGCAGTAGTAAACCACAAAAAAATAAAATCTAAAAAAACTTCTCCCTGCAAGATAAGAGCATAATGTGCTACCATGCATCGCATACTAGCACATTATGAAAGATTTACCTGAAAACAAAGCCCTCCAGCGAAGTGCTGTTACGGCTCTGGGACGGTTCCATTTTCACCCGGTTCTGCTTGAGTGGCTAAGCTGCCGATAAAGTCACTCCTGCACATGTGTGTGGGAGTTTCAGCCATGGCACAGCTCTCTCAATAGACGGCATGCCAGTGATATATCCGGTGCTACCACAGTAAATATCTCCTAAACTGCATGTTTAGAAGATATGTATAGTACCTACAGGTACTATAAGCCCTATTAAAGGCTTACCTGCAGGTAAAACATGAGAAACTAGGTTTACTTCCATTTTAAAGCGTATCTAAACTCAAAAAAAAAATAAATAAACTTTGCAGCTTACCAAACCTTAAATGTGGTGACAACACCAGATTGCTTTATTTTCATCTGGTTATCTGGCCAGTAAATCACTTTCTGTACTAGGGTGACTCCACTCCGTGGATGAGCAATGGAGCCAACCTTAGACAGCAGCATTGTCAACCTGGGGAAAGGGTAGTGATAGATACACTAGCATGTTTAAATAGATTTTACTAAGAAATTGGAGTTCAACCCCAGCAAGCATCATTACAGCACCATTACAGCAACACTTTTTTTTTCTTATGGGATAAAGGTTTGACATAAGTTAATAAAAGCTGTCCACTGTAAGCACCCCTGTCAGTGTTAAATGGTTTGTCCTCTATTTTCCACTTTTGCTGGACAGCTTGGTCTGTTAAAGGAAGTTGAAAGGTAACAGACCTAGGCAGCCTATGCACTGATCATTCTTTTTCATTCAATCAGCAAAAAAAACAACATCCAATTCCCCCATCCACACATTCAATGTGCATGGAGGAATCCTTGCCGTTGTGGAATTGTATTCTGACAATGGGGAGTGCTATTGCCGGTGGCATTGACCCTTGGTTCACATCTGTGCGGGTGGTGCAGCTGCGGATCCACATGAAAATCCGTGCAGCCGCACCACCCGCACAGAGGAATGCGGATCCACGGGCGGGTGCCATTAGTTCTAATGGCACGCCGCCCGCACTAGAAAACGCAACAGTACTAGGAACCGAGGTTCCCGTGCAGGCTGCGTTTTCCAAAGAGGTGCAGGGACTTCTTCCTTCACGGGCAAGGGAGTCCATTCAAATGAATGGGCTCTTGTGCCCATGCAAAACGAGGCCCGCACGGCCACATATATGTGAACTGGGGGTGATCGTTTGGGAAAAAACCTGACAGGCTGGTTGTACACAGGTTGATCAAATGACTTGTGTACAACCAGCCTACCAATGCATGGATTGAAATTTGGCTGGTTAAGCAGGGACTGGAAAAAATTTGATCTATGTATGGCTGACTTTACTGGCCAGATCATCCACTGAAAATAAAGGAAAAAAGCCTGAAAAAAGAAAACTAATGCAGCCACCACATCTTAGGACTGGGAAGCTGCAATATATTACATTTCTGCTTTTGGGTTTAGAGGATTCATACCAGGTTTCATAAAACAAAAATTACAAAACAAGTGATTCATACTTCTGCTTTTGTTAGTTTCATAGTATGTTACCTTGTATGTTCCCCTCTTCAATTCACTGGGGAATATTTAGTGCGCTTAGTACAACTACGTTTCTGTGACATACAGCAACTTCATAGTGAAATGGTTACATCTCTTGTTGTAATGGTGGTATCAAAATACGAAGTTATTGAAGCATTGTTAGCATACACAGGGGCATTAACAGCAATGCACATTCTTCAAGTCTGCTGAGTACAAGCATTACACACCCATGCAGAATACATCCCAGAACCATATAGGTGCCAAATACACTTTCATATCCAGAACCCAAGTGTACAAGGTAACACAGTAATTCAGATTCAATATACGACACCAACTTCTAGCAGAACAGCAATATGAAAAAACATGCTTTACTGTTTTAAGGGCTTCCGGAGATGCCTATGTTCTGAAAATGTCACCTGCCTGGCTGTCATGCTGATCCTCTGACTTCAAAGCCTTCTGAACCGCTGACTGGAAATAAGTATGTAGCTGTCACCTGAAAGCAGGACTGCACTGGCCCAATCAGTTGCAGCTGTGGACTTCCCCACCCTACAGCTGCATGTAACAAAGAAGCAGGGATGCTGGATGCTGGTAACATCAATGAGCTAATATGCCCACTAAGCAATAATGCAATGTTCCAGGCTCATTGGCGCCCCCATCATGCCTGTGGTGAAGATTCACATACAAAATTGCAGAATACACTGATTAGCACTGCAGGCTATAGCCTGCAATGCTGATTGTGCACAAATTTTCCAACAGGCCAGTTGAACAGAAATCGATTGGTAGATCGACTTCAGTTCAACCACAGTGGCCATTCATGAATAGAAATTTGTCTGGTTCCTGCTGAACCAGACAAATTTCGACCCATGTATGGCTAGCTTAACCCCTTGGTGCTGGCGCCTCCCGGCCCTTTAAGGGTTTCAGAAGCCGGGAGGTGGGGCGGGGTTTAGGGTCATGTGACCGCTGCGACACGCCGTCACGGCGGTCACATGACCGGCAAAGGTCCCAATCGAAAGAGGAGATCTGGGCCTTTCCGTGAGTACCGGACATGTGTGCTGGGAGTGAGCAGGGCACGCGCTCTCAGCACATATGTTTTTTTTAATAGAACACAAATGTGCGGCCGCTCGGTGTCTTGGCCCAGAAACTGGGAGGCCACACATTTGCATTCGGCAGCGCAAAGAGGTTCAGAAACCTAAACTGTTACTAAACCAAGGACCCTGCCTTCACTATATCTGGTCTCTCACAGTACACAGAACACTGAAGTGCAATTATTTTAGTAAATATAAACTGCTAAATATCTTTTCTCATCAGCAGTTAGAGCAGTCTTGTGACTTCTATCACTGTCCAGCCAAGCACTGGTTAAAGCTAGTAGGAGTTTTCATTCCGCCCTAGGAGGATGCAGAACCCCTGACCTCTGTCTGGACAGTGCTGATTGGCCCTGTGCTGATCACATGCACTCTCCCAAGAAAAAAAATCTCTCTAGTAATACACACCAAACTGAGAATGTGCAGAGTGTCTCCACACGATGTCTTATCAGGAGATAAGAGGGGGGAACTGGAAGAAGGGGAGGATCAGAGAAGTCATGATCAAACAGCTTTTTGTACACAATGTAGAGGATTAACCCCTTAGGTTATACAGTTAGTATAACAAGCACGCTTTACTGCATACTACAGACTGATTTTACTGTTGTGGGTTTAGTAACACTTTAAATACTGAAATATGTTCAAGCCTTACTACGCATATTAGACTACACCACCAATGATACATGTTTTATATATTGACAGATTTCTTATGGGCTTGTGTCAATAGGCTTTGGGCTTGTACCAATAGCATCAGTTTGAGATACTTCTGAGATCATTCAGAATTCAATGACAGGTACATTCGACCTGCAGTTGACCAGCTTCAAGCAAGTTTTTCATTCCTATAGCCTTGTATGGGAATGCATAACCTGTCTGAAGCCATCAAAAACCCGTCAGTACAAGCCATTTGCAGTATTTGTATCCATAGTGATGCAATGTGTGTGTATCAAACAATCAGTTAAGCAAGAGAAGTTGCTATTTTTTATAAAGTGAACCTCTCCAGACCGGATTATGGAAGCTATCAACACTTGCTGGACTTTGTAGGTGCAAGCTACAATCCAACCCTTTGCGTCACTGACCTGGATAAAGCATGTGGCCAATGAAGTCAGAACTCCAGGCCTGCATGCTTTTTTTTCAGTGTCAGTGACACTAAGTAGGAATGCAAAGAGAGGATGGCATCCCTAGGTATACGCAAAACAGAATGCCCTCAGTAGCAGTTCCCATATATTTTCCTTTAAAAATATCTAAAAGTGCAGCGCTGTGATAGATATAGATATGACAATATATTCAAATAATAAAGTGATCAGTGCACAATATATAAAGTGCTATTTGTGCAATATGTGCAATAGGTGAAATAAATCAATAAATGTCCACATTAATCATTCTGATTTCAATAAATAAATAAAATGATAATTCAACA